ATGGGTGGACCGAAATGCTCGAGATTCTAGACGCTTCGCGTATCCCCACCAGCCCGTCCAGAAACGACGCCCAGGCGAGTAGAGGGTCGTCCTGAGGGGCTTTTCGGCGTCTTGGGTGCCTCGGGGGGGCCTCTGTGGGCCGTTCGGGATCCTCTTTGGGGCCTCCTGGGGGCCTCTTGGGGCCTCTTGGGGCCATCTTGGGGCCTTTGGGGGCCTCCTGGGCGCTTCTTGGGGCCTCCTGGGCGCTTCTTGGGTGCCTCTGGGGGGTCTCTTGGGGCCTCTGGGGGTCTCTTGGGGGCCTCCTGGGGGCCTCTTGGGGGGCCTCGGAGCCATCTTGGAGGAGATCGATCAACGAAGGGGGGTTCCCTAATTACAGCCCCCCTCAGGAGCCACGATCCTCGTGAGGGGTGTCGAATTTTAGCCCTCCCAGGGGTCGATCTTGGGCGCTCCAACGCGCCGCGGAACCCCCTGTCCAGGTCAGTGGGGAGGGGGTAGGGGGAGGGGTAAACCCCTCCCCGAAGGGGAAGAGGGAGGGGTGGAAGAGGGAACTCGTTAAACCACCGACGCCCAGAGGGCTGGTGGGATTAATCGCCTGTCCTCTTCTTCCTCCTCCTCCTCCTCCTCCTCCTCCTCCTCCTCCTCCTCCTCCTCCTCCTCCTCTTCCGACGACGACGAGGACGACCACGAGAGAGAAGAAATACCGAGAGAGAGAGAGAGAGAGAACGAGAGAGGGAGAGAGGAAACCATTTGTGTACACATGTATGTCCTTATATATATATATATATATATATATATATATACATACACATACACACATACAGTATAAAGATCCACGCATTCAATGGCCTTCGGCCCATCCCGCCACCGCTCCTGGGTCGTGGGTACGCAGCCTGTTGGATGTTCGTTGGGATCTCGCGGGGGGTCTCTCGGGGGCCTCCTGCAGGTAGCTCTGAGGCCTCTTAGGAGGCCGCTTTTTGGGACCTCCAGGGGCCTCTCTTGGGGGCCTCGTGGGAGCCCCTTGCGGTGCCCGCGCGCCGCGGCCTGCGAGGCGCGCCGGGAAGCCCCCGGCAGTCCGCCGGCCATCGTCGAGCAATCCTCGCAATCGCGGCCGCACGGGTTCTGCAAGCCAGGCTGCGGCTACACACTGTTCACCTCTAGTTCTTCGGAAATCCCATGATGTTTTGGGGGCCAAGATCCTTTCGTTTCTAATTCTTCCATCCTGGGCCTCTTCCTGGCCACTAGGGGGCCAGGCACACTTAGAAACGAGCACGATTAGAAATGAGCGCGATCAGAAATGAACGACGTGTACAGTCAACCCGCACAGTAAGGACGGGCAACCTTCCCAAGGCTACCCTTACATCCTTGCCTCCTCGGTGCATCCTTGGCCACTTTCGTTGGTCGCGCCCCGCTCGAAAACTTCGAAATGGGCTTCCAAGGGCCTTGCATCCTTATCGTGCATCCTTACTCTACGGTTTGCACGAGCATGGGAGGTTGGCGACTCCGCGGGGTATACGGCTCGTTGATGGCAGGCGACTTGCACCGCATACATCGCACCACACAGACTGCACCACGCAGACAGCACAGCATGCGTTGCACCACATAACTAGAGTTCACGACATATATTGCTAGAATTAAGTTGAGCCTGTCCCTCTACAGGGGGAATATTCAAAAATAGTCAAAAAATAGTCAGGGGACTATTTTTCCGATTTTCTTTGCCATTTTGGAGTATGTTTTTATGATTTTTCATTTTTCGTCGAAAATCCCCCTGTAGGGGGACACGCCCGACTTAAAGCTAGAATCGCACTGTTTGTGGCCCACGCTGGCTAACATTCACCAATCACTGCTTGCACTTGGCGGTTTTTATTTTCCCCAAACAGTGTTTGCATTTGGGGTTTCTTACTGTTGGCCTAAGGAACTGGGTCTGTCTGGGGCCGGCGGCTATGTTGTCATCGTCGCCGCCTCGTCGGCTCCGTTGCCTGGGCATGTTTGGCGACCTGGCGGCTATGTTGTCGCCGTCGCCGCCCCGTCGCCGCCATGTCACCGCCCGTCGTCGGCTACGTTGTCGCCGTCACCGCATCGTCGCCGCCCGCCGCCCTGGCCTATCTGGCGGTCTGGCGGTTCTGTTGTCGCCGTCGCCGCCCCGTCGTTCCATGTCGCCGCCAGTCGTCTGGGCCTGTCTGACGGTCTGGCGGCCCCGTTGTCGCCGTCGCTGCCCCGTCCCGTCGAAATCATTCGAACGCCCTTGAGCGCTTGTTGGTGGGGCACGATCCCGGTCAAACAACATTATGCGTGCAACCCGCGCTCGTCGGCCACGCGCGCATGTCGACGTCCTTCCACAATCTTCATCGCCGACACGTGGACACCATCATGGTCATCGGCGTGATCAGCATCGGCTCCATCATTTGCCTTGCCGTCGGCAGCGTCATCGTCGTCACCAGCATCGCTACTATCATCCTCGCGTCTGCCGTTGTCGACGTCGCCATGATACCGCGCCCGCCCGAGTCATCGCCTCGCATGTAAGTCCTTCGCGTCAGCACGGCTTGCGAGACGCGCGGGGAAGCCCCCAGCGGTCAGCGCCACCGCGGCCTGGCGTCGTCGGTCGCGCCATACAAGCTGGCCGCTCTGCGCGCGAGCCTGCGCGCGTCAGCGCGGCCGCAGCGTTGCGCCAGCCAGCGCCAAGCAGTCACCGCAATCGCCGACGCATGAGTTTTGCAAGCCAAGCCAAATTGCGGGTGGATGGCTGGGATGAATGTGCGAGCAGTGGAGATGACAGCTTCAAGCTCGGGAGGGTGAATTCTCCTTTCGGAAAAAATAGGATCTACCCCACCCCCACGTACGATTCTGCCCCATCGTCAATCTTAATATGAATTCATACCATCCCAGCCAGGACGGTCACGGCCCCCCCTCGTCCTATGCAAAAAATGCAATGCGCGTGCACTGGTTCATCACCAATCATAAGTGTCCAAAAATCCCTTACAGCAAATGGAACGAAGCGCGCACACGCGCGTCGTCGCGCGCGCATGCCGGAATCCTTCAAAATCCCCTGGTGTCGTAAGGGTGCCAAAGTCGAGTGTCCCGAATACATATAAAAACGTATGGCTTCACAACAAGAAGTTTCAAACAACAGGGTTGCGCTCGCGCCCTTCCGAATTCTTAATTTCACCGTGGGTTCTGCAACCTTCTGGTAAACATGCTACCACATGGGTTTTTCCCGCGCGCGTGCCGAAATCGTTCGATCGCCTTTGCGCGCGTGCTATCGTAAGAACCCATTGCGCAAAACAAAAAAAACAACAAAAAAAAACGGGACGGACAGCACACGCGCGCGACGTCGCGCGCGCATGCCGAAATCTTGAAACAAAGAAACATTGGTCCCGTAAGGCTTTCAAAATCGAGTGCCCCGAAAACATATAAGACATACGTTTTGCGATAACAGTGTTAAAAAGTTGCGTTCGCGCTCTTGCGAGCGCTCGGCTCTCAAGGCGACCATCGGTGTTTCAAAATTTCTATTAGATTCTGCCAAGCGGGCCTTTCGCGCCGCATGTCGACGTCATTCGGACACCCTTGCGCGCGTGTTGGGGGGCACGGTCTGTGTCAAATAACACCATGTTGGCCATTCTCGCGCATCGGCCACGCGCGCATGTCGAACTCCTTCCAAAATCTTCACCACCGACGCGAACACGCCGTCATCGTTGTCGGCGTGAGGAGCATCGGCGCCGCCATTGGCCGTGCTGTCGCCGTTGTCATCATCGTCACCAACGTCGCTACCGTCGTCATCGTGTCTACCGTTGTCGACTTTGCCATGATGCCGCGCCCGCTCACGTGGCCGATTCGCATCGAGGTGCCCGCTGGGGAGTGCCCAGGGGTCAGCGCCACCGCGGCCGCTTCGGTCGCGCCAAACTAGCTGGCCGCTGCGCGCGCGAGCATGCGCGGGCTAGCGCGGCCGCAGAGATGCACCAACCAACACCAAGCACACATCGCAATCGCCGCCGCCATGTGTTTTGCAAAGCACGTTGCGGGTGGGTGGGTGGGATGATTGCGCGAGCAATGGGGTTGACAAGTGCGAGTTCCACACGTGAATTACACAACGTAATTTGCGCCACATGGATTGCACTACGTGTATGGCGATGCAAACGACGCACCACATAATGAGACAACGCACTGTTTTGGCCTCGCGCTAATTTGTACACGTGTGTTTATATACTACAGACATAAATACGTATGTACATATATGTGTACATACATATGTGTATGCATGTGTACATATATATAAATAAAATATATACATATACCGGATTGCATGCATACATACATGCACTTATGATACGCGTATGCGTGTGTGTATATGACTACACACAGAACGATAGGTTCAGAGAGGGCAGACAACAGCATTTAACAGGAGGAGGAGGAGGACCAGGACCAGGACCAGGACCAGGACGAGGCTGAGGAGAGAAGAGGGGGGAGGGAAAAGGAGGAGGAGGAAACGGATGAGGAGGAGGAGGAGGAGGAGGAGGAGGGAGACGAGAAGGAAGTTGAGGAGGAAGAGGGGTCGGAGGAGGAGGAGGAGGACGAGGACGATAAGGAGGAGAAGATGGAGGAGGAGATAGGAGGAGAAGGGAGGATCAGGTCCCTGGAGATCCCTGGAAGCCTCATGAAGCCTCCAGGGGCGGCAAAATAACCCAAACGTTCTAAACGCTCAAGCTTTGAGCTTGGAACCTTTTCGACGATCGAGGAGGAGGAGGACGAGGAATCGGAATCGGCCCCATCGCGGTGCGAAGAGGAGGAGGACGAGGAGAGGGACGAGGAGCAGGACGAGGAGGAGGAGGAGGAGGAGGAGGAGGAGGGCGAGGAGGAGGAGGAGGAGGGCGAGGATGAGGAGGAGGAGGTTGCCGAGGACGAGCAGGATAAGGCCCCTCGCCAGGCGCTTGGTTCCTGCGGAAGGAGGCGGCCGCCGAGTGCAGGGGCCGCTGCGCCCGCCGCCCCCCCCCCCCCCTCCCCTCGAGGAGTTCCCCGTGGGGCGCGTGCTCATGCAGTGGGCCTGAGCCGGCGAGGAGAAGGAGGAGGA